TTGGGCTCCAGGCCCTATTCTGGGCTACCATTAACTTGGGCTGGTCCAGACATGGAGGTAGGTGCTGGGTCCCGTACCTGCCACCAGGGGGCAGCAGGGACCAAAGAACGGAAGTCCCCTTCGCTCGGCCACAGCAGATCCCTGGAGACAAGGGCAGCCGGGTGTCACCTGGCCTTTTGCCAACGTGTCTCACCTGCCCCTCCCCCACTTCTCATGTGTGTCATCCGGGAGGAAACTCAGTTCCAGAGTGGGAGCACACGGTGCCCGCTGTCCCGCAGGTCGGGACGGTCCAAGCGGGTGGAGCCGGGAGGGGGCGAGCGCAGGCCGGCGCAGGAGATGCAGAGCCCTGGGTATGTAGGCCTGGGTCAGCGATGCTCCCACTTGTGCCGAGGTCACGGCAAGTCCACGGAGTCAGGGATGCTGCGGTCCCACTGCGCTCAGCCTGAGTGGTGGGGGTCAGACCTCGCGGGTTTTTTGGGGGGTTTTGGCTCTTTTGGTTTTTGATTAATGACTTTCGTGGGAAAAGAATGTCAGAAAGGTTCAACAGGATGTTCACGGAGGTGCTGCTCCTTCAAAAACAAACACTCATTCAGTGACCGCCCACAGGTGTCAGGTGCTGCGTGGGGTCGGGTTTCCGGGCCTTTGTACTTTCCTCTCTGATGTTTTGGGTCTTCTCTGAATCCGAGGTGACGCGTGCCAAGTTAGTAAGTAACCAGAAAAATGTCCAAAGCACCTTTATATTTTAAGCAGAGGCTGGCTCCTGAGGAGTGTGGCACAGGGGCATGGGGGCTTCTGGAGGCCCGAAGGGACCCAGGACTCGTCCAACCCCCCTCCAGCCTAGGGACCTGTTAAACCCGTCCAGCACAGTGGTTGCTGCTGGGAAAGTCCCAGCCTGCAGCATCGGGTTGGAGCCCCCACTCCCCCCCAAACTGCTAGCAGATTGGGCAGGACCTGAGTAGAAGGCAGAGCTGCCACCCCAGCCCTCTGGTTCCCCCATCTTCCATCTTTCATTTTTTTATATCTTTCCCTGAACCTTCTAAGCTGAGGCCACTGATCAAGATATATAAGGACAAAGCTTAGCTGTTTCTAGTTTGATTCTCCATTGCTGTGACAAAACACTCTGACCACTACCAACTTGGGGAGGAAAGGGTTTATTTGTCTTACATCTCCCAGGTCACAGTTCATCAGGGAGCCCAAGGTAGGAACTCAGGGCAGGAACCTGGAGGCAGGAACTGGAGCACAGGCCTTGGAGGTTACTGGCTTACTCCCCTGGCCCCTGCTCAGCCTGCTTTCTTATGCAACACAGGCCCACCTACCCAGGGGTGGCACCACCCACAGGGGGTTGGGCCCTCCCACATCACTCAACAATCAAGAGGATGCCTCACAGACATGGTCACAGGCCAGTCACATGGAGGAAATTCCCCAATTGAGGCTCCCTCAACCCAGGTGTGTCAAGTTGACACTAAAGCTATCCAGCACAGCTGTCAATAAGCAATATAAATAAGCGTGTTTCCTTCTAAGTTGAGGCCACTGATTGAGATATTAGGAATAAACTTTATTTTTAGTTTATTATTTTTATTTTATGTGTATGAGTGTATTGCCTGCATGTATGTGAGTGCGCCCATGTTGTGCAATGCCACGGAGGTCAGAAGAGGGCTTCGGACTCCCCTGGAACTGGAGTTAAGGAGGGTTCATAGCCACCATGTGGGTGCTGGGAATCGAACCTGGGTCCTCTGCAAGAGCAGTCAGTGCTCTTAACTGCTGAGCCATCTCTCCAGCCCCAGGAATAAACTTTAGACATTAAGAAATAATTTATATAAGTGTATAATGTTTTAACTTTATTTTTATTTCATGTGTATGAGTGCTATACCTGCAAGTATGTAAGTGAACCTGTATCAGGCAGTGTCCTCAGAGGACAGAAGAGGGCATCAGATCTCGGATCCCCTGGAACTTGAGTTACAGTTGTTAGCTGTCATGAGGATGCTGGGATTCGAACCCAGGTCTTCTGCAAGAACAGTCAGTACTCTTAAATGCTGAGCAATCTCTCCGAGCTCCAAATGCATTAATTTTTGAGTAAAACTCAGGCTGGAGCTGAATCCCTATGTGGAAGGATTAAGAGGAAATTTATCCCACTGTGGTATTTAGAGGGGCCTTTGGGAGATGATCAGGGTTGCATAAGCTCATTAGAATAAGGGCCTTGAGTTTGAATCCTGGTGGCTTTGAGACAGAGAACACACACACACACACACACACACACACACACGCACATGCTCCATCTCCTGTCATAGGATGTCCTGAATCTCTTGGGGACCCAACAGCAAGACCATCTCTAGATTCCACCCCTCAATCTTGAACTGTGAACTCTAATAACCTCTTTTCTTTATAACTCACTCAGTATGTGGTCCTGTGTGGTCAGCACAGAAAGCAGTCCAGTTTCCATCTCAGTGGATGGAACTGCAGCATACAGTTGCTTATTTGTAAAGTCCTTTCTTCAGACAGATCTTTAAGCCAGCACCCTCTCTTTTATGGTTTGGATATGAAGTGTCTTCCGCAGCCCCCAGGCTCAGGTTTGGAACACTTGGTTCCCAGCTGGTAGCACTATTTTGAGAGGCAGTGGACCTTTTGAACCGGGAGAGGGGGCTTTCTAGAAGGGCTGAGCCTTGAAGGGAATATGTACTCGTGGTTCCTCATCAAAAAGATGTGGACAAGCCACATTGCAATTCCTCCCACTGCAGAGACCCTGTGGCTGCCATGCCTTCCAGCCATGATGAACCGTATATCTGAACCATGAGCCACAGTCGGCCTCCTCCTGTGAGCTGCCTCTGTTGTGTGTTTTTTCAGTTAAAGAAAGTAACTAGCACACATTCCCTCTGCAAGTCCCAAGTCGCTTCTTACAAGTTTCAAATGTCTGCCCAATATTCATGATCTGAGAAATTTTGTTGACAACTGCCCATCAGGAAAGTATCGCTTGATGAGCAGTTGGACAATGGTATGAAGCACCAGGACTGTTACCAGTTGATGCCCATGAAAGGTACATAGCCAGTGAGTACAGGAGCTGGGAGGGCACAGGCTGGCATCCTCTGTGCAGGGTGACTCTAGACAGCAGGATCTGGATGAGACCAAGCCAGAGAGACCTGAGGAATCCAGGCAACAGCAGGATGGAGAAACCCAGGTTTCTTGGGCTCTTGTCTTCTACTCTGGTCTCTATGAGGTCAGAGGAAACCCAAGAGATGGTAAGAGGATGCTAATGGAGACAGCCCTGCCACACAGATCTTCACAGCTTTCCCACTTCACAGATGAAAACAGCAGGTAAAGGAGGTACAGAGAAGCAGAGGAGAAGCCCATACTAAGGTCCTGGGGCTCCTTGACTAATCCGGAGACCAGTGCTTGCAGATCAAGAACCTGATTGTAAGGTGGTTCTCTTTATTACTTTCTTAATTTTTATGTTTTGAGTGTTTGTCTGCATGCATATAGGTATACCAGTGTGTGCAATGCCGGTGGAGGTCAGAAAAGAGTGTTGGATCCCCGGAACAGGAGTTACAGATGGTGTTAGCCACCAGGTGGGTTCTAGAAACCAAACCCAGGTTCTTTGCAAGAGCAGTCAGTGCTCTTAACCTTTAGACATCTCTCTAACCCCTTTTCTTGTTCTCTAAAACAGGGGCTCCCTACATAGCCTAGACTATCCTTAACTCCTTATGATCCTCCTGCCTCAGGCTCCCATGAGACTGCAAGCATGCACCATCATGTCCAGCTGAAGGGAATTTTTAAAGGTACTTTCTCGAGGAAGTTGCAGAAGGCCTGGCGGTAGTCATCCTCTCAGGGACCAGCTCATTCCTGTGGGAGTCGCTTCCCTTCAGGGTGAAGATCTGATCAATAAGGGATTTAACCATGTAGGCGGAATATCAGGTGAGAGGGAACTCCATTACAGGAACCCTTCCAGAGGCTCAATTAACTCTTGAATAAGGGGTATGTTGGGGAGCAGAGTGTGGCAGTGCATACCTTTACAGGTATCCCAGTGCTCACTGTGATTCCAGTACCAGGAAGCTGAGGCAGGTGGGTTGTGAGCTCAAGGCCAGCCTGAGCTATAGCCTGATCCTGTCTTAAAAAAAAAAAAAAATCTCATTCTGAGATTCAAGATTAACAAACTGGTTTCTGTTGGATCATGCCTCAGCAGGGATAACAAGCCAACAAGGCTGTATCGACTCCACAGCAGTCCCCTTATGACGGGACCTGCCCGATTCCTGCCATTGCTGCCAGTTCAAGTCCCTGCAGCTGACCTTCTTGTGCTGTGACCAGGCCAGAGCCTGTGTCCAGGACTTTGCATGTAAAACAGCCCCATGCCCAGCACATTCTTTCCTGAGCTCTTCCTGACTTTTTGTAGCCACTGTGGGTTTATCTCAAATATTGCCAAGCTTCCCTAGGTGACTTGTCTCTGATCCTCCCTCCCTAGCATCATTTGTATTCACAACTTGGAAACTTAAGGTTTCCTGCTGGGCCTCTCTGAGGACATGGGGGAGGAGTCAGGGTCCACCCCATCACTCCTGACTAGGATGTGGGACACTGTGATGTCGATGCCTGGATTGTTTCGGGTCTGCCATGAACGTGCTACATGATCTTAGCAACACGCAGCAGCCAGTATCATAGGTCCAGTCCCAGATCCTTCAGGCTAAGAGTGATGAACACCAGCACTCTGCCTGCAGATCAGAGGGTTCCAACCCTTGAAAACAGTCCCCACCAAAGACCGTGGGAGCTGGGGAGCAGACACCTGCCACCCTCTCCTGAGCAGGTGCATCTGGGCATGCAGTGCCCACTGTGGTCATCTCAACACCCTGTATTGCCTCTTTTCCTGCCCCTTACCCCAACAGAAGATCCCAAGTCACCTCTTAAACCAACTGCACTGGAATCTTCTCAGGCACCTGAAGACTGCACATTTCAGCACTGTGCCTGGACTCGTGCTGGGAGGCTTCCATGAGTTAAAATAAAGCACTCTGGGTCTGGCCTCTGTTTGCATAACAAAGAACTAAAGAGATAAAGAGCCTTTATTGACATAAAGCTCCATGCAGGCCTCTTCTGGACTCTGGCAAACGTACCAACTCCCACAATAATGGTGGAAAAATGTACAGACTGTTCAACCCAGTCTCACTTTTCCGGCACTCAGTCTCACCTTTCCAGCACCCAGTCTTTGGGCCACTGGCAGTCTGCCATCTGCTACTCCTACCACCTGGCCCTCTGCCAGAACACGGGCCACAAGCCCTACTCTCTCATGGACTTGCCACTGCTGCCAGCAACGGTGCCCCCTGGGATGGGCCTCAGGGCAGCTGGGTTTGTTTGCCGGGATCCCCACTTCCGCTTTCCAAGAACCCTGGCTGTGGGTTGCACATGGGCATCTGACAATGACTGTTTTTAGCAACTGCAATTTCTCATGGCCTCTGCTGCTCCCAACTGAGCAGCCAGGACTGTAGATTTTGCCTCCAGCCTTGACTCACAGTGGCTATTGAATGAATGGGCCCCTCAAGGCCAATGCCTACCCTCCCTGAACCTTGGGTTTCCCATCCATTTTTAGGGCCTCTCAAGCCATTGCTAGGCCAGGTATCTTTTTCCACGTCCAGCTTCCAGTTCAGGGAAATGTGAGCAGCTATCCCAGGACAAGTGTGAGCCGTGGCCAACAGGATCTGTTCAGTGGGCAAAACAGGGCTTGAGTGGGCAGGGCAGTGACAGCTGGTGGAAAAGCTGTGAATGAGGTGCCCAGGAGCTCAGGACACCAGCTCTGCAGTGGGATGCAGCTTCTAGAGCCCCTCTGTCCTGTAGCAGGGAGGGCAGCCCAGGCCTGCACTGTGGGAGACAGCTAGTCTCAATGCCCTCAGGTCAGACCAAGTTCACATCTTCATTTCACAGTTGTTTGGATTTTTAGGAAAACCTGCCAGCTGGGCTGTCTCTTTGGCTTAAATGAGCCCATCATCAGCACAACCTCAGCAAGAGCTCACGTACTCAGGAAACTATCACACCCTGGGCCCCCTCGGACACCAGGCCCTTCACCTTGGTCCCTTGAGTATGGCCAGTGGCCTTGCCCTCCCCTGAAAAGCCTGAGGGTGCCCTGGATGCTGGAGTGAGGCTGGCTTCCTGTGGCAACCCTTGAGGAGAAGTGTCTAGGGACCCTGAGGAGCTTCCTGGGGGTGACCTATCCCCACAACAGCAGCCACAGCAGGGGCTGGCCACCATGCGGACCTGGCCACTTTCCTCCTGGCTATGGTGCTGCTTCAGATGGCCACACAGGTGGCAGGTGAGGGCAGAGTAGACGATGCCGAGGCCCAGGTCGTCCCCAAGTGGCTCTGTAGGGAGAGGCGCCTTTTGCACATTGCCTCCTTTAAGCTCTGGCTCCAGACCAAGGCATTCTGGAATGCTGCTGGGTAGGGGAGAGTCTGGAGGGTTGGGTGGTGGTTCTGTGTCCAGTCCAAAGGTAAATAGGGGCACAGAGCTAGGGGATGGGTCAGGAATGAGGTTCTGGAAGGGCTTATAGCCCCCATCCCCATTGCCAGCCTCCGGTCCTGCTGTCCCCCTGCAGAGGGAATTGTTGGTTAGCAGACTGGAGAAGGCCTTGTAACCAGAGTCTCTGCAGGGCCCGAGCCCAGCTACCCCAGGGTCCTGGGCAGCGCCCTCCCTCACCGCCTGCACAAACTCCCGGTAGCCACTGGCGGGAGCCGGGACAGCGGCCCTGTGCCGCAGGACGCTCAGGTGAAGGATCTGCTCCCAGCTTTCTGACTCTGTCTGCTGCATGGGTGGTCCTGAAGAACAGGGCACACCAGGGTTTGGGGAGTCCCCTTCCTCCAGATGTCCAGCCTGCAGAGGGTCTGGGGCCAGCTCTCCAGGGCCTGGAGACTGGCTTTGGAAGTGGCTGAAGCTCCGGTAGGCAGGGTTGTCTGTAATGACCGGCACCTGCGTGCAGGCCAGACTGGCTGTGCTGTGGGTTGGGCTGCCTGGAGGAGGCTCTGAGTGCAAAGGCTGCTCTGTGGCCCAGCAGGTGGCCTCCTTGGGCCCTGTGGGGAAGCAGGCCCAGGGCACAGGGTCCTGTCCACTTTCTGAAGGCAGAGTGAAGCATGACTCCCCCAAGGCTGGCTGGTCAAAGCCCCTGTCCTCAGGCCCCAACAAGTCTATGAACAGGTTCTCAGTCAGCCGAGCCACGATGCCTGCCCTGCCCTCCTGGAAGTCACTGATGCTGTCCTCAGGTAATGTGCACAAGTCCTCTTCCTCTTCCTCCTCACTCTCTCCTGGGGCCTCAAAAACCTCCATACATTGCACCACACTCATGCTGACATTCTCTGGCCGGAAGACTGTCCTGCTGACCTCCACAGGACACCAAGCTGGCTTTCCAGGACCCTGGAGAGGCCCAGTTTTGGCAGCCCTCTTCATGCTATGCTCCAGCAAGCAGGGGAGGAGTTTGGTCAGACAACTCTTCCAGCGTCTGCAAAAGCCAAACTTAGGGAGTCAGTTTTGCCACTCATCATCTGAGCCCTGTGTGGAATCACCCTGTACTGATTAACATGTACTGCAAACATGCCTTCTGACTTTATAATCAACACAAAGTGAGTCTGTGCTCACCAGTAGCCTGGGAACTCAGCTGCCCACAGTCCCGGTTCATCCCATCTCCTGCCACCCTCAGGGCGAGAAAGAAGAGGCAGATATGGGGCAGGGGAGGGAGTGACTGCTGTTAGCACAGTCACTGTTGCATGCTAACCCTTTCCAAATCCACATTAGCTATGACCCAAGTTCAAATTTAGATACATACGGGCACTTGGTTGGCTCCTGGCTTTGGGCTTGCTTTTGCCATAGGGACACCTAAAAAAGAAAGAAAGTGAGGATGGACTGCTGCCTGCCAGCCTGGCCCACATACAGCAAGACTCAGCAAGTGTCTGTGTGAAACGGAGCTGTGGTTGGACAGCTGAGTCCACATGGCCCATGGAGCTCTAGGTACCCACGATTCCCAGAAATAAGATGACTGTGGCAGATGGCAAAAGTGACTCCAGGACTGGACAGTTCCCCTTGCCCCATTCTTGACTCTAACCTGGCCACGGAACTTGTGGTGATCAAAAGAACGTGGTAGAAATGACACTGGATCAGTATGGGCCTGGACCTCAAAAGGCTTTGCAACTGTCCACTGTGGGAATAAGTCCGACCAGCCTCCTGGAGGACAAAAGGCTACCCATGTGATCATAGCCCCATGTGATCTAGGCTATGAATGAAGCTACTCCAGCAAGATCTGCCCAGCCCCTGCACTGAGCCCTGCCCAAAGTGTCAAGCTGCAGAAGTAGGGGTTATAAATAAATAATGGTGACTATATAAAACTCTCTGGATTCTGGAGTCATTTGTCACACAGCCAAAGCTAGCTGATATATAACTAGTGCTTTGTGTATGTGTGTGTGTGTGGGGGGGGTGACAACTCTGTCACACATGATCTAGATGTACTATCTCAATGAATTCCAACACTCACTCCAACCAGAAAGCACTGTTCCCACCCATGTGAGGAAACAGGGTCAGACCAGTCTGAGACTAGATTCTACTCTGCTAGGAGGGGCAGGGCCAGACTTCACAGCCAGCAGATTTCTGGATACTACAAACAAGCCTGGACACCCTCTTCCCTCCTCACCTTGCTGAATGGATACAGCTTGGGCAAATTCATTCCTTGGGGTGGCTGGCCCCGCCCAGCTCAGGGATGGTCATCTGGGTGTCTTACTCTTTCCTGGTGGCAGAAGTTGAGTGGGGTGCAACCCAGGCCAGGGAAGAAATGGGAGGCCTTGTGCCTCAGGCAGAGCCACCCTCAGAGGGCACCATGGAGCACCTGTCTTTTCTCCTCCTGGTATCCCACTAGGTGCAACACCTTCAGTAAGCCCCCAGGGACCCACCCCCCGGCCCAGGCTGGTGGGCAGTTGTGGAGTCTAGAAGGCCTTATGACACCAGGTGACTGTCCCAAGCACCAACCTGTCCAGCCCCAGAGCCCCAAAGCCCTGGGGCAGGTGGGGGGGGGGCAGTCACACTTGAAGTACCCACATCCTCTCACCTTTGAGTCCTGGATGATGATGGCCACCAGGGGGCTGCGTGCAGGGGTGGGAATCTGATCCCACCACATTTTCTTCACCCTGTGACAAAAGGAAGTGGGGGTTAGACTTAGAATGTTCTGGGGGTCAATGAGCACTCACAAACGCCGTCCTGGTCAGTGCTCCACCTCGCAGGGCACCAGAGGCCACGTTGGGAGATCCCATCTCTAGCTCCATTCTGCTACAGGACAGGAGCCCAGAGGGGGAGTGACAGCTGACAGAGCCACAGCTATACTCATGGGTCTCCCAGGAGGCTGCCTGGGTCCCCAGGGGCCCAGGATGCCTCAAGCTGCCCAGCAAAGATCCTGCTCCCCCAACAGTCCTCTCCTGGGAGAAGTTGAGCAGCATTTCCAGACCGGCCCTTGGTACAGTGGGCAGAGGGGGAGCACAAAGAAGCAGGGTTTCCCTCTTCCTGGATCTGCCTAGAAACCTCTCAGGTGGCTTCTGGCTCTATGTCTGCCCACATTCCTTACTGCCCATCTACTATACCTCTCTCACTTCAGGCCAGGGCTGCGGGGACAAGCCAGATCCCTGCCTTGCAGGGCTGCCCTTAGAGAGGAACAAGAAGCTGATGCAGAAATGGTCATGTGGCACCATTCTCTGTGACGAGTGCCAGGCCTTGGTCGCCGTCCCAGCCACTCAGGATGCTGGGGCTAGGGTTCAAAGTTTAAGGCCTCCCTGGGCTGCAGTGAGTTCAAGGCCAACTTGGACAACTTGGAAGACCCGGTCTTAAAGTAAAAAACAGGTAGAGGGCTGGGCTGTGTGTCAGTGGTACAGTGCTTGCTTGGTATATGTGAGGCTCTGAATTCCAAAAGAAGTTAAAGAGAACAACCACAGAGGCGTAGACAGGAAGGTGGGGTGGGAGAAACAAGGCCGGGGGTGGTAGGGAGCAGGTCCTGACAGTGTCAGGGGGCAGGCTTTCCGAGTCAGACATGGCCAAGGCTTTGTGGGAAGAATGTTCCTGGAATCTTTGAGAATAGCAGGAGGCTGGGTGCTGGAACAGAGGGAGAGAGAGAAGAGCAGAGCAAAAGAACACGGAAACTGAGGTTCAGAGCAGCAGCACCCACCCCAGGGTGACTCGAGCATGAGACAAGCCATGGAGGGGGTCTAGCTTTCCCTGCATAAATGTGTGTCCAGCCAAGCCTCAGCTGCCTCCTGTCCCAGACTGGGCTCACACAGCCTATTTCACAGATGGGAAGACCAGGCCTCTGAGTCTCTGACATTCCATAGAACTCACCAGAAATGAGTCCTCCCCACTTGCCAGCCCTGTCCAGGCTCTCCTGGGAACCTTGGTCTCATGGTCACTCTCAGTCTACAGAGAAACCCAGAGCATGGGCATCTTGCCAGCCTTGTGCCAGCAAGAACCACCACTAGGTTCCACACATCTTCTGATTACTTATACTGTCTGCTCAGTTCTTCTGGCTCCCACCACATGTCCAGTGCCTGGTCCACAGCATGGGTACTCAGAGGGACATGGGGACAACTCTGTCTCCTCTGTGCCCCCAGCCCCATCTTCTCAGAGCACCTGCCGTTTCTGCCCTCCACCTTGGTTTCTTCTTCAGAGCACAGCCACTATGGAAAACTCTGTAGTCTGAGAGGCAGGCTTTAGACTGGGTACCCCAGCAGCCTTGTCCCTGCCAGCAGATGACCCTCTTGGTGACTGGACCATGACAGCCAGGAACAGACAGACAGGGCTACCCCACCTGCACTGCAGAAGGACTCACCTGCTGATACAGACATAGCAGGACAGGCAGACCAACAGGATGCCGACACAGGAGACACCAACCCCCAGTGGGAGGCGCTGGGCCAGGGACGGCTGGAAGTCTGCAAGGCCAAGGAGAGCTACTAGCTGTGGGTCCACCCCATACTCTGTGTGGCTGGTCTCCTCTTGTTAACCTAGCCTCTGTATCCTTCCTGCTGTCTATGACCCCCCTCTTAGCCACTAAGCCCTTAGCATACGGCCGTGTTCACTGTCCCTGCTCCTCCCAGGTCCAGATGTGGAACTTGTTGCTCTTGCTTACTGGAAGCTCAGAGGTCAAGGACACTGACTCAAGTGGAAAGGCCTGAGTTCAAAGCCTGCCTCTATCATGTCCTTGCTGAGTGACCCAAGGCAAACAGGTTGCCTTCTCTGGGTCTTCTCATCTGGTCAGTGGAGTTAGAAATAGCCTTTTCTCACAGGCAGTAAGGGTCATGTGACTGAATAGATCACTCATTCAAAACAGTGTGAGTTCATCTGTGAGCAAGCACACTGGCTCTTCTTCCTGTTCAATGACTATGAAAAGATTTCCCAGACATCCTCTCTCTATCACCTGGCTTCTCCTTCTTGGCACTTGCTGTCATTTATTTCTTTGTACTTTTGGTTGTCTTTTTTCAAATTATTTACTGTATGTATATGAGTGTTTTGCCCGCAGAGATCAGGAGAGGTTATTGGAGTCCCCCTAGAACTGAAGTTCGAACAAACAGTTAGAACTGGAGTTCGAATAAACAGGTGTTTGTTAGTGACCATGTGAGTACTGAGAACTGAACCCAAGTACTTTGCAAGAGCAGCCAGTACTCTTAACCAGAGTCATCTCTCCAGACCCTATTTTTGGTTTTCAAATTTTCTAATCTTTTGTTCATGATGTGCTTGTTTATAAGTGTGGGAGTGATGAGCCAGTGCATGTGTGGAGGTCAGAAGACAACCCCAGGTGTTGGTCCTGCCTTCCACACTGAGTTGGGTCTTGGTTTTCCAGCTGTGTGCACAGGTGAGCGGGCCCTCGAACTCCTCACACTTATGTTTTTGCCTCTGCTCTGGGCACGTCAGTTCCCCCTCCGTGAAGCAGGGGTGCCTGTGTGCTCTGCTCCTTCTGGTGACCCAGTGTCCAGCACAGAGCTAGTCATTCAATCACAGCTCGGTCAGTATTTGCTGAAAACAAGTGTGCAGCACATGGTGCCTGTTCTACACACATTCTCTTCCTTCCTATGCTCGGGTTAGCATTAGCCTAGATTCAACCTCACACAATCTTCCCTAGTCCTGATTATTCAGCTACCCAGAACTGGGCATGAGAAAGGCTGATTCAACCTGTGGAACTCAACTAGCTGTGTTCACAATGAGTGGAACAATGAACACCATGGAAATTATGAGCCTATTCGTTACTGTAGCCTCACTGGCCAATGCTGACACTACACCAAGTTCACAGGGAACTCTCATATGCAGTCTGAGGTGTCCCAGGACATGAACACCATATGGCTCAGCCAGAGGGAGTGTCCAACCACAGGGTACACATGGGGTATACAGAGCCTCACTGCCCAGTACCCTGATACTTACGGTTGTACCACTTGATGCTTGGGCTCCACTCGCTCCAGGTGCTGTTGAAGCTCTGGGCCCAGACTCTCACCTGAGCCGTGTAGGATACCCCTGACTTCAGAGTATTGGCTAGGAGGAGCAGATTGGCACCCCTGTAGGTCACGTTATAGACTGTGAACTGAAGGAGAGGGGCATGTGAGTGCATAGTTGGTGGGGATGCATGTCAATTCCCACCCTGGTTGCTGTCCTTAGTGATCTATCTGTGCTGGGCATGTGGCCCACATTGTAGCCACTATCTGCTCAGTTCCTCTCTGTGACAAGAGAAGAAATCAGTTAGATCAGGGTGTCAACCCTCCCCCTGGCTCCCCCATGATTAGCATGTGGTATTAACTCTGTATTATTTGGGCAACAGGATTAAGCTGGGTTTCAATATTCTCATCTATAAAACAAAGCTAAGCTTATGACCTTGAATGAGTAACCTCTGTGGGGTGTCCAGCCATAGTGTCCAGAGTTCTCCCTCTAGTGGGACAGCTAGGGAGAAGGGCTGGGAGGACATGGGTGGCAGATAACCCCCCGTGCATCTACAGCAGGGGCTGAGGCAGCCATCATGAGCGCTGCCCCATCTGACACTTCCCTGTGTGGCAACTGGGTTTTGGGGTTTTGCTTTTTTGGGTGGTAGGAAATTTGTTGTTGTTTTCCTTTCTGAGTAGGCCTGAAACTCCCCATTCTGTTTCAGCCTCCTGAGGGCTGTGGTTCATGTGCCACCATGCCTGGGTCAACTCTTTCAGACATTACTATGTGTGCTCGGTAAGGAATCTGCCACCATCCCATTCATAGAAGGCAATGTCACCAAGAGTATCACAGAAGCAAACATGATCAGGACTGTACCCAGCTTGAACGCTGGTGGAGTGGCTTGCCCGAGACAATCTTTGCTGGCAGGCTCATGTCCTGGTTAAGGGAGGGGGTGATAAGCAATTGGCTCCGAGACTGCCTGTTTACAGTGGCAGAGACACTGTCAGGCAGTGATGACCAAGCTTGGGGTTTGGGTTACTGAGGCTGTGGTTGATAACCTCATGTATCTCTTGCTGGGCAGCAGATGTGGCCCAAAGCCCCTCACCAAACAGAGGAGGAATGACGGCAGAAATAAGTCCCCTCCATGCTGTAGCCTGGATCCAGGAAGTTCCCAAGGGCCCACGTGGTAAAGGCTGGTGTTCCCCAGGGTGGTGCTATTGTGAGGGACAGAGTCTGATGAGGGAAGGTAGGGTGTGTTCCGGGGGAATATTAGGACAGTAGATATATTCATATTCTCTCTCTCTCTCTCTCTCTCTCTCTCTCTCTCTCCCTCCCTCCCTCCCTCCCTCCCTCCCCCTCTCTCTGTTTCTCTTTGCCTCCTGGTCACCATGAGGTAAGAAACTTCACTCCACCACATGCTCCTGGCACAGTGCTCTGCCCACAGGTATGAGGCTGAGTGACTATGGACTGATCCCTTTGAAGCCATAAGCCAAAATAAACCTTTCCTCTTTAAGTCAGTTTTCTCAGGCACTTTGTTCTAGTGATAGAAAGCTAGCTAACAGACCTTCTCAGTGGAAATTGGGGCAGGAGGGGAAAGGATGTGCCTGAGGCAGAGCTGGGTGAGGAGAGGGTTTTCTAGTCTGCCCTTTACCCCAGGCCTCCTCCCAAGCTCCCTGCTCCAGAGTGGGAGTCTCTGCCTGCCCAGCCCCGTTCCCAGGCACTGGCATGGATCCATGGTGTCTACTCACATCTTCAGGATCATCCGCTCTGGAGACATTGACCATGTAGGTGAGCCTGTCGTGTAGGAAGTTCCCTGGCGGGTATGGGTTGTTCCACGTCAGCAGCCATGCACTGGAGACATTGGTGTGGACCATGAGGTTGCCTGGGACCCGGGGCTTCACTGGGGAGGAAGGGTGCTTAGTTTTGATTTGCCTGTTTGAACACGTCACCTCATCTTTCTTTTTCTTTTTTTAGGGGAGTGGCAGAGTCTGACTATGTAGCTGAGGCTGGCCTGGAACTCCTGATCCTCCTACCTAGCATCCTGAATGGTGGGATTACAGGCATGAGCTTCCACACCTGGCTTCATCCCTCTTAAGCAATCATATCCATGAGATCGCCAATGTTGGAGGCATGTTGAAATCAATATATACATGTGAAAATTATTTTAAATTTGTTCAGGGATCAATTTTAGTAATTGGAATAAACAGTGGTTTTACTCACTGACAGAAAATCCTGAGTTGTTGGAGAGATGTGGCCTTGAATTTTGCCCCTGCCCCTGAGAGGCTGTGTGAATAAGTCAGGCTGCTGGTCTTCTGTGAACTAGTTTATTAATTACAAATGGGGATAATCACTCTCTTTTCAAAGCTGAGGTTTAGAGAAGTAATGTGATTTGCCCCAGGTCACACAGCAACAGATTCCTGATTTAAATTCCGGTTGTAACTATTTCTGAGTGGAGATATAGTTCAGTGGTAGAGCATTTGCCTGGCATCTGTGAAGTACTGGGGTCCATCCTTAGTAATATAAACAATGTTGGAGCAAGATCCTGGGGGAATTGCTGCAGGGCCTCCAGGTGGCATGAGGTCAGCTTTCCATGGACAAGGCCATGTGACAAAACAGCAGCTGACCTGCCCACAGCCCATCTTTTGACCTGTAGCCAGTGTGCACCCCACCTCCCTGCCCCAGAGCACCTAGCCAGGCCTCACCATGGTTGCTGGGTCTGAAGGAACCCTGCCACAGCAGTCGCTGTCCTGCCCACAAGTCCAACTGGTACGTGTCTGCCTCGACAAGGTCGTCCGTGTACATGTCGTCGCACATGCACGCCGTGCTGGCGCTGTTCTTGGGGACACACGTGATGTTTCTGAAGACAGGGCTGGGTTAGGAAACCACCTATGGTTATAGCTTCCCAACCACATGAACACAAGATCAGAGCAGCCAGGGAGGGGTTGGTTTCTTGCTGGCCACATTCCCTCTCTACCTCTGGACACTCCTACACCCCTCTAACTCTAGACCCCAGTCCCAGAACTTAGCTTGTTCCAATGAAAGGGAATAACCCAGAGCACTAAATAATTGGTAGTATGTGTCCCAACATCCCTCTACAGAGCACAGTTTATGCCAACACAGGGGACTTTGGCAAGCCCCAGAACACCTCCCATAGGCTTGTGCCCTGTGCACTTCGTACAGTCCTGCCAGTTGGCCACCAGGACGGGCCACCCCACATTTTATGGTCCAGACCAGGGGCCAAAAACCATCTTCTGTAAAAGGCCAGACAGGAAATTGAAGGCTTTGAAGATTATACAGTTTCTGTTACTGCAACAAACTCTGCTGATAGAGCCCAAAAGCAGCCATAGACAAGATATAAATGAATGAGTATGGCTGTGTGCTCATGAAACTTTATTAATGAAAGCAAATAGGCCGGATGGGACCTGAGGTCCACAGTTTACTAGTCCCTGGTCTGTGCCAATGTATAAAAGCTCATTTACCTTAAGTCAATAGGATCATGAAGGACCAACTCCCAGGAACTAGGGGCCGTGTGCTGTGTGTGCCCTCAAGCTGTGTCCCTGTGGACTTGGTTCTGTCCCATGCACAATGGTCACAGAGCACATGGGTACCAGGGAATAAAATGGTTCAGGGCAACCCCTGGATACCACGCTCACATTCCGTGCTATCTCCTGTCACAGTGAACTCCACCTCCAGCATGCCACCCTTCCACAGTCTAGTCCTATAGCTAAGTGCTCTGAGATCACCAAACTGTTCCATAATAATACTAATCCACGATCTGCCTTCTCATTCTCACTGTGGAACTTTCCAGAAGCTAAATGATGTCATACTGATAATGTCACTGCTGCTAATTTGGTGAATGTGAGTTGTGCTTACTATTGTGATTTAGTGTCTCCATTTTAAATTATGAGGTAAATATTGACTGAGACAGGCTATTTAGACAAGTTTCCTTGTTAGCTTTATTTGTTCTTTTTAATACAAAAATTACATTTATTTATTGGGGGTGCACACACGTGCCACAGCATATATGTGGAGTCAGAGGACAACTTTTGCAGGAGTCAGTTCTCTCTACTTATCATGTGGATCCTGGGGATTAAACTCAGGTCGTCACACCTGGAGGTGAGTGCCTTTACCCACTGGGCCATCGCACCAACCCTATTTATGTTTTTGAGTCAGGATCTAGCTATATCCCTTACTGACTTTAGGTGTGCAGGTAAGTTTGAAAATGGCTGGTCTAGTCCAATATGATAGAGTGACAGTGGGCCAAGAGTCCTACAGTGTGCTTCTCTCCTTTTCTCTCTCTCTCTCTCTCTCTCTCTCTGTGTGTGTGTGTGTGTGTGTGTCGGGGGGGGGTACTGGGGATCATGATCATCCACTAGGAAAGTATTTAATTCTGAGACAGGATCTCAGTAAGATACCCAGACTGGCCTTGAACTTGTGATCCTCCTGCTCCAGGTTCCCAAGTAGCTGGGAGCAGAGTCTGTTCCCTCAGGCTCTGCTTCATGGTACCACACAGAACATGTCCTCACAGGCTTGGCCCTACCTCAGACACTGCAACCAGCAAGTGCCAGAAACCACACTTAAAGCAGCACCCACTGGTGCCCCATCTGGACCAGGCAAAGCCCTGGGACAGACCTTTGGGTGCTGCTTCCCAAACCAGGTCCCAGTCCAGCTTACTCAGGGAATTCGAAGTCCAGCCAGTAGGCCAGGCGGAGCTCTGAGCTGCAGTTGACAACGCCATCCAGTTGCCACTCACAGGTGGAGGTATTGATGTAATCGGAGAAGCAGGTGGGCTCAGACAGGACCTTGATGCTCCCTGTGGGGACAGGCTTTTCTGAGCAGCAGAACCAAGGCAAGGGGCTCCCACTGCCAAGGACACACACACACGCATGTGCACACACACACACACACACACACACACACCCATAGCTCAAGCCAAAGCTGAGCACCAACTCCAGCCCAGACCGTGAGCCTGGAGCTTTCCCCCAGGCCAAGGCCCATGGAAGGCAATGGACCACATGCCCCTGACCTGTATCAACTCAATGCCAGATCCATGTATAAAAGTAGTCATGGACAACATATTAACAAATGAGCAGCTGTATGCTAATAAAACTTTATTTACAGGCACAGACTATAAGCCACATTGGGCCTACTGTGTTATGGACGTACTACCCTACCTGCAAAGCACTGGCCCCAGAACACAGGAACAGGTGCCTTGTCTGTACCTCCTTTCCCCCAGTCTCTGCCCACTGAAGCTAGGTGCCTAACCCTATGGTCTACTCTGCCCAGGTCCTTAGCCCCTGGTATCCTAGAGGCTTCACCAAAAGAAGGAAAGGAAAATGAGAGAAGAGGACAAGCAGCCATCTGTCAGCTCCCTGCCCCTGCCAGTCATTCAGAGGGACCAGCCATGAGTCTGAAGGTCACTAAACTGAACACCCTAACCACCATCTGGAGCCCTCCAGGGCCTTTTCACACCCAAGTCAGACATATCCCCATCCAAGATAAAGTCACTGTGTGTCTGCCCAGTGGGTGTGGCTTACCACAGAGAAGTTTCACACAGCAAACAAAAATCAAAACTCATTCCTGTCCAGAGCAAACTGTGAACTCCTGATTCTCCCTCCTATAATACCTGCCCCTCAGTGCTCCACATCAGAAGGAGAGACCCACCCTGCCTTAGGTTTGGGGCAGAACCTATTGGTTTGTTTTTGACAGTATCTCACTAGTTAGCCCAGGCTGGTCTCAAGCTCATAATCATCCTACCTCTGCCTCCTAAGTGCTGGGCTGACAGGTGTTAGCCATGGGTGAGAAACGTTAGAGTTAATTTCCTAATGTCCCCAAATGGACCTTCTACATGGATTTAGAAGCCCCTCATCTCCAGCATCCACTCTGGCTTTTTCTCTACTTGGATCTTGTAGTTCCTCTTAGACCCTGCACAGCCAGACTCAGTGGCCCTGGGGTGGCCTCCTCTCTCCTACACAGCCTTCTCTTCCTGTCTCACATAATGGGCAGGCTCTCTCTGAGAATTCCCCTGAGTGCTCCATTTTAAATTGCAATACCTCCTTCTACCCCCAAACCCCAAGCCTCCCTTACTCAGTTCTGAGATGTGTTTTCCTATCACCTTTGCAATTTACCTCAAATTATCTTCTGGTCACTTCTAGGATAACCTCAGTTTTCAATTTGAATTAGTGTCAGTGAAACCAGCTAGTCAGGACCATTTGTCATCAGCTGTCCCCTCCCACTGCCATGCAATCTCCACAAGGCTGAGGATTTTGTTTTGTCCACTGATGTACCCCAGGGCCTTGGTATGTCATTAATTGAGTGATTGAAAGTTGGTGACTTACCAGAGCCGACTGCCCACAGCAGGATCAGGCAGTTCACAGAGAGCACAGAGAGCAGGAGCCGGGCACGAAGCCACCCCATTAGGGACATGAAGGTGCCTGAAGAGAGAAGAGCAGGTGAGTATGTGTGGTTCAGGCAGGCTCACCTCGGTGTCAATGGCCTCTCTGCCCCAGGTATCCAAGCTCATTCCACAATCGGAGCCAGGGGCCAAGCCACCCTTCACCCAAAAGATGTTTCTTAAGTGTGTCCTGGGAGAGCCACACCACAAGTCCAGGCTCCCTCACAGACTGTGGACCCTGAGCAAGCTGTGCTCTAGTGCCTGGGTTTCCATATCTGGTAACTGGCTGTCTACTAATGGCTCCTATTTTGGGGGATGCTGACTGCTAAAACAGACAAGATAGCAGAGTGTCAAGCGGATGGAACAGGACAGTCCGGAGAAGCGGCTCCAGCCAGTCTAGCCCATTGAAGACGCCCTAGGCTGGAAAGTCAAGCAGAGAAAAGAGCCAGAAGCCAAAGTGAGGCTCAGCAGCTGGGGGTAGCATGGTGGTAGAGAGTTGCCTGGCATGTACCATGCCCTGGATTCTAACCCCCAGCATGGTACAAGAAAAAAAAAGGGGGGGGGCTCAGAAGAGGAAGAAAAAAAAACAAGGAAAGGGGGGAAGGAGAGGGGAGAAGACAGAGGGGAGAGAAGGAAGAAAGGCACTCTGGGGGGAAGCCTGACCTCAGACCAACACTTCTCCCCACAGTCCTGGCCCCAGGCCAGTTCCCTCTAAGCAGCAGGGTTCCACCTCTAGAGTCCCCTTCCCCAGTGCCCTCTAAGTAGCCAGGTTACAACCCTCCACCACCAGTCCTCTTCCAACTCTGGTCTTGTTTAAATCTGCAGCCTCCCAGGCTCATTCTGCCTGAGCTGCTAGGAGCCCACAGCAGAGTTCACCATCTTCCAGAGCTCTGCTTCCTCTTCCTGCATGGACCTTGAGGCCAGCCTGCTGTGTACTGTGTGGAGGAAGTGGGACGCATGCTGGACACCTGGCTGCACACACATCTGGTTCTGGCTGCCAAGGGCTCATGCCACCAGCAGCCCAGGCCCTGCTGGATGCTGTCTGAGTGATGCAGGTAACACCCAAGCCAGAGACGTAGCCATTGATGTCATCAGCATGTCTGAAGGCCATCAGTCACTGTGCTCTGCTCTCAAGCACCTGTAGGTGCTCAGGAGGTGACACCACAGCTAGTCCAGTGAGCAATGCTAACAATGCTATGCCAGGACATTGTGACTGCTGCACCACTAGGCACTAGATTGGACTGCAGAAAGAAGAGGGCCAAGGATGTAGCTTGGTGGTAGAGCTCATGCCAAAGCCTGCATGGGGCCCTGGACTCCATCTCCACCAACACAGAAGGAAAAGAAGGGAACAAGAAGATGAGAGGAAGCAATGCACATCTGTACACAACGAAGAGTCAATAGCTTTACTATAGAAAGAGAGCCCACAAATCAGTAAGATGCCTCTTCAAGAAAATAGGCAAAGGATACAAATGATTCAGAAAAGAGGTTGCACACAGTGGGGAGATGGCAGGGGCAAGTTCAGACCAGCCTGGAGTACATAGTGAGGCTGTCTCAACTCCTATCCCTGAAAAGAGAAGTACCTTGTCATTTAAATCATGTATTTGTGGGCCGGAGAGATGGCTCATTGGTTAAGAGCAATGGCTGCTCTTTCAGAGTACCTGGGTTTGATTCCCAGCACCCACATGGTGGCTAACAACCAGCTGTAACTCTAGTTCCAGGGGATCCGACACCCTCCGCTTCTGTATGTGCACTTACATACATGCAGGCAAAGCACCCATAAACATAAAATAAAAATAAATAACAAATTGGGTCTGGAGAGATGGCATGGCAATTAAGAACACTGACTGCTCTTGCAGAGGACCCAGGTTCAATTCCCAGCAACCACATGGCAGCTAACAACTGTCCATAACTCTGGTTCCAGGGGATCGATCACCCTCCTCTGATCTCCAAGGGCACTGCACAACACACGTGCACTTACACACATGCAGGCAATACACTCATAAACATAAAATAAAAAATAATAAATAAAATATTTTAAAAAAACATTTTAAGATCATGTATTTTTCTCCACAACTACTGAGGATCTGTCCCCATGAAGAGTGTTAGCCCTGAGAAGGTAGCAGTGTGTCTGCTCTGGACATTAATTTGTCCCCAGTGCCCAGAACAGTACCTGGCATATTATGTAGTAGATAGTCTATGAGTGATGAAAATCAGGCAAGAACAAATTCAACAATTTAAACACAGGCCTTGGATGGAGCCTCTGCCAGAGCAGCTGCACGCAGTTTAGATCTCACGACTCCCTATGAAGCAGGTGCCTGAACATTCCACCTCACACTTAAAATCCCAAGGCACAGAGAGGACAGAATGCCTGCTGTGGTCTCAGAGCCAGAATGGAACCTAGAATCCATGGGCCTGACCACCGTGCTTTATAACACCTTGAAATGAAATGTCATGGGCCAAAGTAGACACTCAAAGAAGACACGTGACAAGGCCAAGGTCATGGGTACAGATGGGGAGGCAGATGGGGTGGTGCTAGCCTGAACAGGGAGCCAGTAAGGTGCCCAGAAGGGCAGCACAGCTGTGGCTTCTCAAATGTAGAGTGGACAGCAGGGCAGGCATCCTCCCAGCCTAGCAGGAGGACTCGTCCTGCTGATGAGGTGGCCAGTCATAACAAGCTGCATGTACAAAGGGAAAGGGACAGCAGAGGCTGCTGTGGTCTCTGGAACAGCTGACCTGAGACTAGTCTAAGCAGGCCTGCAGCTTCCTCACAGCTGGGCTGGGCTGGCCAGGGGCCAGGGACACACTGCTACCAGGCAGCGGCCCCTGGGCTTCCCAGAAATGGCAGCAACGTCAACAGCTCCACCCCAGACGGTGAGGCAGCACAGGCCAGGGCCCCAAATGGCCTTGCTTTGTGGGTGCTGGCCCAGCTGAGGGAGGGGCAACCAAGGGAGCAGAGGGTATAGGCAAAACCTGCTGCCACAGGAGAAGCAGCCAGTCAGCCCACAGCACCCACCTGCCTTTCTGCGCACCTTTCTTGTTGCTGGAGTTTCAAAGCACCTACTATGCACTATCTCTCACAGCTGTAAATACATTAATCACTTCCTTTCTTGTTCTTTCTGTGGTACTGGGCTCAAACCCAAGGTTCTGGGCATGCTGGGCAAGGGTTCTACTTCCGAGCTATGTCCCTAGACCTTTTTGTTTGTTTACATTTTATTTTTAAACAGGCTTTCACTACACAGCCCAGTTTGACTCTGAACTCATCTGTAGCCCAGGTAAGCTTATTCTTTTAACAAGTGCTTCAGTGAGATGGGAAGTTACTGGAGAGTTCTGAGTCCAAACGAAACTTCAGGAATGAGGAATGATCCCGTGGCTGGTGATGTGCAGGGCCTGGGGTCAGGGGTAGACGGCAGGACACTACACTGGACCCAGCAAGAGGCTCCAGGGCTCATGCCGGCGTGGGACGATGGCTCGGGAAGAAGGGGCAGTGCTCCCATTTGGCTGAAAACCTCTCTGACAGGAATTGCTGACACAAGGGCATGAAGTGTGCAGAGAAGAGTTAGTGGAAGTTAGACGTGGCTCTTGGTACTTGGGCCTCTGGAAGGGTAAAGCTGCCACTGACCAAGAGGGTCAGACCAGGACAAGACACAGTGCAGGTCGACCTGAGCCCAGTGTCCTCACAGTAGCTGGGCCTCTGGTAGTCACTGGGGGTGGGGGTGGGGGTGGGCCTG